TAATGAATTTGGGCACAACAAAACAACTGATTACCATTGAAGAGGTCATTATGTGGAAACAAGCCCGGCAAACCGGGTTACAGTACACATGTCCCCAGCAACCCACCCTGGTCGTAAAGGCGAGCACATAGATCGGGTGGTCAGGCTCGGCGATTTGGTTGATGGCGTATCATCTTACCCCGACTGCATGGATCGTTATTCATTCACTGTTCACAATATTAATCACTGGATTGTCTGGTCCAGACTTTTCGCATAATGGCCTTGCCAAACGTAATTATTTGTATAGTACATATTTTCTCAAAATTTAGGAAGATCCGGGGTAGAATAGGTCTTCAGCAACCCATGCTTGCCGTAATAGGCGACTATGCTTGTCGTTAACTTGGTGTTATTTCAGGACGATCAGAAGCCCGGATACAGCTGATGGGGAGGAGCCTCTCGTGTCACAGCTTCAGCCTTGAATGCCAATGGATGCAGATAATCCGCTAACCCGCGAAGATCAGGGGTAGAATAGGTCTTCAGCATCCGGTGCTTGTCTCCCCGTGACGATCCGGGGTAGAATAGGTATTCCTTCAGCATCCGGTGCCAGTCGTATCAGGCGACTATGCTTGTCGTAAGAGGCGGCTAACGGGATCGGGTGGTCAGGCTCGCTGACTTGGTTGATGCATGTCATCGTATCACAATTGTGTGGATCGATGCTCATGATGTCAATCACTGGATTGTCTGGTCCACACTCGATTATTTCTCAGACCGCCGTCGTGAAGCTGGAATATTGCTGAGTGCGGCGTTAAACAACAAACAAACCAAATCTCACGATTTAGCCCGTGTCGATGAAACGGGAACCTAGTGATCCAGTTTGGACATTGTATGGCATACGCTTGACTGTGTTTGTGTCCATCCCCCTTCAGAGGGTCTTGTAACGTACGGGATGGACCATCACCTCTGATTCTGGAATTGAACACTCATCAACATCCCCACTGGTTGTACAATACAGACAAGCAACTTAATATACTACTATCCCGACAAATGCTGCGATATTTTACAGACCAGGGCATGGTCTATACTCAATTTATCGCTATACTACTATCCCGACAAATGCTGCGATATTTTACAGACCAGGGCATGGTCTATACTCAATTTATCGCTATACTACTATCCCGACAAATGCTGCGACATTTTACAGAACAGGGCATGGTCTATACTCAATTTATCGCTATACTACTATCCCGACAAATGCTGCGATATTTTACAGACCAGGGCATGGTCTATACTCAATTTATCGCTATACTACTATCCCGACAAATGCTGCGATATTTTACAGACCAGGGCATGGTCTATACTCAATTTATCGCTATACTACTATCCCGACAAATGCTGCGATATTTTACAGACCAGGGCATGGTCTATACTCAATTTATCGCTATACTACTATCCCGACAAATGCTGCGACATTTTACAGACCAGGGCATGGTCTATACTCAGTTTATCACTATACTACTATCCCGACAAATGCTACAATATTCTACAGACCAGTACATGGTCTATACTCAATTTATTACTATACTACTATCCCGACAACTGCACGTTCTATACTCAATATACTGCTAAACTACTACTACTATCCCAACAACTGGTACAATATTCTTCAGACCAGTGCATGTCCTATACTCTACATATTGCTATACCATAATTCCCACAACTGATGTATACATCAGCACAAGGGACTAATTTAGATTGCTACGATCCTGACACAACTTATAGTCTATTTTCCAAGGAATCGAGCCAAGGAAACCTCTGAACTGATCTAATTTATAAACCATTTTTAGAAGGTGTTGATATCTTTTCCCAGACCCGAAAACACTGTTTAACGACCCGTAGCGGTGCAGTCAATTTGAAGTGAGAGCGAAAGGTGTTTTAATGCATACTTCATAGCTTCTACACCCTCCTGTTTTTATGCCTAAACGTTACACAAGCTTTCGGAGATGTGTAGACAAGAAGATGCCCTGAAGTGGTAGTTCATCCGGGACATTTACAAGCCAGAATTTCACGAGGTCCCGCTCCCCCTTGCATGGACCCGTGAAGATTCCAGGATAGAATAGGTCTTCAGCAACCCATGCTTGCCGTAAAAGGTGACTATGCTTGTCGTAAAAGGCGACTAACAGGATCGGGTGGTCAGGCTCGCTGACTTGTTTGATACATGTCATCGATCCCAATTGCGTGGATCGATGCTCATGATGTCAATCACCGGATTGTCTGGTCCAGACTCGATTATTTACAAACCGCCGTCATATAGCTGGAATATTGCTGAGTGCGGCGTTAAACAACAAACAAACAAAAGCATGTAAATGGAAAGAATAGCTAACGGGAGAGTGTATGGCATTGCCATCCTATATTGCCTTTGTGGTCGTCTCTATGAGTGTTAGAACACTACATTATGGAACAAACAGCTTTGATCTGTTATTATTGCGTATAAGTATGCAGAAAGCTTACTACACTGTTGGACGTAAAGAAACGGAACTATACAAAATATTAATGAGTAAGTTAGATTTTACGCCGCATTTAGCAATATTCCATCACAATCACGGCGGGGCACCTGAAATGGGCTGCCCACAGTCTATCCACGTGGGGGATCGAACCTGGGACTTCTTTGTGAGGGGCGGTCGGGGAGCCTTGTGGTTTAAGCTTTCGCTCGTCACGCCTGAGACCTGGGTTCGATTCCCGACATGGGTACAATGTGTGAAGCCCATTTCTGGTGTCCTCCGCCGTAATATTGTTGGAATATTGCTAAAGGCGGCGTAAAACCAAACTCACTCACTCACTTCTTTGTGACGAGCGAACCTTTAGGTTATCCCACCGCCCAAATAAGTTACTACAATGGTCAGCTGACTGTGTGAGTGCGTACCGCGGTGATATTGGGTCAAGGAATGATAGATGACATTAACGAAAGAATTGTGGATTACGGAGGGTCAGTATTAGAGGAAGTAGTGTATTGTGGAGGGTCTGGAGTAAAGCAAGTGAATCATTGTGGAGGATCGTTGTGGAGAAAGGGGTGGATTAAGGGGCTAGTGAAGAGAAAGTAAAGTGGATTACGGAGGGGTCGGTGTAGAGAGTGTGGAGGATTATGGAGGGTTAGTGTAGAGAAGTAAGTGGATTCTGGAGGGTCCGGAGTAGAAAAGGGGGTTGGATTATGAAGGGGTCGGTGTAGAGGCAGTTGTGGATTCCAGAGCAGCAGAGAATAGCCAACAAAAATGAATTGACTGTTTCGATTCAAATTTAGATTCTGAGACAGCCGAATCGGCTTCAAAACATGTTTCACTGGTGAAGGAATTGGTCCTTTAAACCGTCAGTCAGCCAACATAACACCAACTGAGTACGCCAATATCACAAGCCGCGGTGCGTCTATTGTATCCGGTACGGTATTGTGTAATCGTCAAGTGCTGCACAAACGACATATTTCACTTGTAAAGTTGTTGCCTCGGTAACGTTGGTGTCAACGTCGGACACAAAGGTCATGTATTTTATAACACGTTCACGATTTCAATGACATTATCTAACCCACTTTTAGGTTGAGGAGTCTCTAAATGAATGTCAAGATCAAGGATCAGTTCAATAGTTGACTACCGGATAAATAAAAACTATCCATAGGTTTTGAGACGTACCCCGCAGTGGTATCAAAAACTTAATCGTGAATATTTTGAAAATATCTCCGACGGACATATTTTTTCATTTTCAGTGCAAAATGTGACAATTAGAGCCGTGATGTATTGACTTGAACCGAAAATCTCTGGGCCTAATATGCGGCAGAGTTTTTGTGCATGTCAAGATGACTGAATTTTCGTACAAGTCAACAAATTACAACGGTTATTTATTGACTTCAACTGTAAATCCCTGAAATATATTTGTGTGAAAACAAGCGACATCCCGCATCGTAGGAATACAAACAAATGCGTGAGAAGGTCACCTTGACATATGCAAAAGCTCTGCCCCATCACCAGCTTGTATCACTACGAGATAGTATTCGCGTGACAAAAGAATCCCTTTAAAAAAATAGCAGTATTTTTCACAATATATTTTGGGGTTGACTAGATGGGCGGTGGTGATAATGAGTGGGGTATATCACAAAGGTTTTATCCTACATTAAACTTTTGTATTTCTCCCTATCGGTGACCGTATTCAGTGATCGTAGGTTCGAATCCAAGAATCACACATGGCTAGGGGGGGTAGTTCAGACGTTAAAGTGTTCGCTCGTCACGCCGAAGACCCGGGTTCGATTCCCCACATGGGTACAATGTGTCCCCCGCCGTGATATTGATGGAATATTACTAAAAGTGGCGTAAAACCACACTCACTCACTCATTTACCATCGCGTCGTTGTTTGCCGAAAAAAAGTACGAATTTAAACTCAGATTAATATAAAAATGTTCATATTTACATTAAAATATTCTGACTATTTCAATCATTTTTTGTATTTGTATGTTGTAACATAAGTCAGCTTCGGGATACAGGGAACATGGGAGGGGGAATTATCTGCCCACTGGACTTTTAACTTTGTTGTTTTAGACTGAAGTTTTTTTGTCATATACACCGTGTGTAGTTATTTTGGGAGGATACTAAGCACGATGATCTTGCGACATTTGTCAACTTTTACGACTATCGATGCTGTAAAATCTAGGTAATAAAAGTCTGTATAACATAAATAATTATTATATTTTACCCCACCTCTTTTTGAAGTATTTACCCAAATTGTATCAAATATTTACCCCTATGTTTTTATATTTAATATAAAACGAAAAATTGTCAGCATAATTCCAAATAATTACATCACACCGTTATTGTTTACAAATCCGATATAAGAAATTGACAATATCTTATAGTTCATCAGACCACTGAGGAATTCTGATAATATAAACAACCAATCGTGCGTACAATACGCGTCACGTGACAACAACGCAGTCACATGACCGCACAAGCATCCGGAGGTATCCCCCCTGATGACAACAGTGAACTATTTCACTCTGGCGCATTACCTGGTATGGGACCGAGGCCAGAGAGGAGGCTGTGTGGAGATTATAGCGTTGCCAGCTCAGCTAAAAGTTCTTCAAAGAATCGCATTCTTCACTTTTGTTCCTGGGAGGAGCGAGCTGCGGTGTGCAGAGCTTTCAAGACAGCACTGACCTCGGCGCACTGACTCAATTACTTCGGAGCAAGACAAATGCCAGTTTAAACAGTAAGCTAATACATGTTACTTCGATATTATTGCGCTTGTTATTAGAAACACGTATGCCCCATGTTTGTATAAAACAATGCACGTGATAACATTTGAATAGTTGTGCATATCAGAAAAAGGCAATCGGTCTTGACGAAGGTGACAATAACAATAATATTTGGGAAGGTTGTGTCTGACTTTCCCTATATCATAAGAACATGATTACATTACATTCATGATTTGTGTAGCTGTCGTGTTGCTGGTAGCCGCCGCGGTGTAATCCTGACGGCGTCTTACTTCTCACTACAGGTTATTGTTACAGAATTGTCATATTGTTGATTGCAGGTTATTGTCACATAGGGGACTGACAATTTTAGATTCGTGGGAAAAAAACCATTGTTTGCGAACATTCTTGAACAAAATATAAATAATGAAAAACAACAATTGCCCGCAACAAAAATTACATCTCTTGAAAGAAAAAAACAGGCTCCTATTTTAAGTTGTAGCAGTATCACGAGGGGTACATGGGGTTTCCTGCGTCACGCGTTAGGTTTTATACCACGAACACCTAACGAGGGACGCATTAAACCACATGTACCCTCGTAATCCTGCTACAACGAATTTCATCTTGCCGACTTGATTTATTATGACATTGTAAAGATTAAAATTCAAAATTGATAGAAGACAGCTGTTCGATTGAGATGAGGTTAACTTGTTCTCTATCATGTGACTTTCACTGACTCGGAAAAAGGTGGGGCTTTTTGCATGGAGGCGGTGTATAAGGGATTTGTTTTGCCTCTCAGAAATCCACGCACAGCCTGTCTTCTTCGTGGCGGGGTATAAGGGATTTATTCCCCCGCTGAGAAATTTATTTACTTCCAAGGCGGGATACATAGCATTTTATGAAGATCACGAGGGGCAATCAAAGCTCCTTATTCTGACATGGAGGTACGATAAATAGCTGAAGCTGTAGCTGAACATATATCTAATCTCGATACCAAAGACCAAGTCCCACCCCAGAATATCAAATGGCTGACAGCAGGTCACTGTGATATAGCCCTTATATTACTGAAAACTGCTCGAGATGATATAACCGTCGCATTGCTGACAACAGGGCGCTGTAATATAAAACCGTCACATTGCTGACAACAGGTCGCTGTGATATATAACCATCATATTGCTGACAACAGGTCGCTGTGATATATAACCGTCATATTGCTGACAACAGGTCGCCGTGATATATAACCGTCATATTGCTGACAACAGGTCGCTGTGATATATAACCGTCACATTGCTGACAACCGGTCATTGTAATACAACTTCGATATTGCTGACTCCGTCCCTTAGGCCCTCCTCAGCATCTGTGTCTGACTTCTGTTGGGTGTTCACAGTTGTAATGACTGCGGCCCCTCCGCCAACTATATAATGACCGGTTCTTTTCTCCCCAGATCCGTGTGGCCCGATCACTTCAACCAGCAGCCTCCGCTAATGAGTGGGCGATGATAAAACCTTGCCACGAGGAAAACTGAAGCGTGGGGAAGCTTGGATTACCGTAAGAGGAGAATACTTGTTGAGTAGATGAGCCTTCTATAACACAAAAACTTCATGAATGGATCCTCAAAGCCAACTGAGGTCTATGATATAAATAACATCAACACAGTGGGTCGCCGATTCGCAGTGGGGCCGTACACTTCCTGCTTGTAAATTCCTCTACAGACAGTTAGCATGGCAGGGGTGACTTGTCGGGGATGAGTTGTCGGGGGAGGAGCAGGAGCGACCCTTAACGTACTTGTGCACCCCTCAGCGACAGTGAGGGGCTGGTTGGGGAAGTGGACGCGCGCGAGATAAGGATCGAGTGCAGGGGAGGTACACAGGGTTCCACAGACGCCGTGTGTCTCGCTCATCGCTTGGTGCAGGACGTGTTTTCATTCCCGCTCTACGACGTGTGGATCATGGCCGGTGATGATGGAGTTGTATGTAATGTGGTGGGAGTCGTGTGTTGTGCAGGAGGTGTCCGGTGCACGTCGTCGCGCAGCCTGGAGCAACTAGTTTTATGAAATACCATATTCTCATGTGTCTGTGACAGTTGTGTCTGTGTCAGTTGTGTCTGATTCGGTGATTTCAGCGGTGGATTCGTGATCAAAGAATTGTACGGATTATACTTTCATCAGCATGTATCACCTGAGTCTGTCCGGTCACTTCGCCGTCATAGCTGTCATTGTGACCTTGACCTTAGGGGAAACAACCCCTCCACCCCCCACCTCTACAGTCCCAACTACAGATAAGCTGGAGGAGGCTGTCATCACCTCGTTACTGAAGATAGTGGATGAAAAGTTTGACACTTTGAGTTCCCGGATTGCTCAGATGGAGCGGGCGTTGAACGGGTTACAGTTTTTTAACATTCGTCAGTTCCGCGGAGTCACCAACACACTACAGACGACAGCAGCGCTTACGCAGGCCATGCATTCTAAACTCGGGACAAATGACCTTGAAACAAGAACACTTAAGTCTACAGTTACACGGATTGGGCATGACATGAGTTCTCTTAAAGAAACAAACTCTAAAATGTTTCAACAGCTGGAGCGTTCTATTGTGTATATAAATCGAAACATTGAAAAGAAAACAAACGAATTGATGACAGCTCTTGATGGCCTCGACTTCGGAGGGCGCGAGGAGCGTGGTCCTGAGGAGGAGGCCACTGAGCAGGCGTATACAGGGAGGCAAGAAACTGTTTTAAACTGTACAGTGGATATAAAAGTACTAGAAGAACGTATAGATTTACGTTTCAACCATTTGAGAAATCAGTCCCATTTTCAGTATGAACAACTAAGGAACCAATCGAGTGTGCAATTTGATAAGTTAAAGTACCTCTCACAATCCCATTATGGTAGTTTGCGAACTCAAACAGAGAGCCAGAACAACAAACTGAAACATCAGTCCGCCAGTCAGTTCGACAAACTGAAACTTCAGTCCGAGACCAACTATCAAAGGCTGACAAATCAATCTCAGGGTTATTTTAACAGTCTTAAATACCAGTCCCAGAGTCAGTTCAATCGTCTTTCCAATATCAGCCAATCACGTACAGTTGAGAAGTCGGAGGAGACGTACTCTCGCTCTGATGACGTCTTCATTGACAACGAGATGCTCTTCCACGCAATCACAAATATGACGTCACATATCGTTCAGTCTGTGAGTTTCATCAGACACACTGACAGTATGCTGGAGCAGATCATTTCAAACACCGAGACGTTGGCGTACGAACAGGGGAAGCTTCGTAAAGACGTCGTCGACGTGGTCGTACAATCACCACGTGACAACGAAAAACCCGACCCAGCAAACAACCTCCTCCCTACAGGTGAAGGTCATACAAACGTAGATCAAGGTCATGGTCACCTGCGCACAGAAGTTGCGCCTTCAGGGGGGTGTTCACTTCCGGAAAGTGTGCTTAAGGATATTGCAAAGTTTTCTCAAAATGGGTCGCAGTTGTTTGAAATATTAACTGATCTTGCTCAGATGAGTCAGGTGTCATTATCATCCTCCCTTGTCGAACTTCAGGACGAGCTTCTCCGAATGGAGGAGACTCGAACCAAACTAGAGAAGGAGACAAAACTGCCACCGTCCTACGGTTCGGGAGACAGTAACCTTGCCCTTCAGAAAATACTCAATACATCCAAGGCAACGCTGAAGATGACCGAAGCGATGGCCTCGAACACTGGTTGGATTCCTTACATCTTCCACAATGTCCAGTACGTTGAGGGTCAGCTCAATAGGTCTATGTCCGTAACAACACGATTCCTGTCGGAACTCCGAAGTTTAACGAGTAAACTCAGCCGACCTGATCCCAATGCACAAACTCAGGCAGGGGTGGCCAACAATGTCCCCCCTGAGCGGGAGGGGGACACGCGAAATGGAAGTGCGATGACCCAGGAGAATGTGCTTGAGTTTATATACGACACCAGCGTTAAGCTGAAGAGGATTATGCCAGCGCTGACAAGACTTATAGCTGAACCAGGTAAGAACAAACTTTGTTAGATTTATCTGAACAATATTCTTGTTCATATTTCAACACCTTGTTTCCTTGAGAAAAACCAAACTTTATTTCAGCACCAGCTTCCGACTGTTTGCACATTTTATGTCACAACACAGAATATGGCTTCACTCGCCAGTGTACAGTAAACTACGTTTAAATCGAACACGCTTATAACGAACTGACGGATATAACGAACAGGCTTTTAAGGGTCCTGGGTATTTGCTGTCTATATGACATTCTTATAACGAACTACGGCAACAGAACAGGACTTGTTCCGCCCCCCCCCACCTCCCACCCCCCACATACACACACCACTCCACACAGCACACTGTATCAGGAGCTGACTATGGGGGTCGAGAAGGCATCTTAGCCTTGTGCTTCAAGTGTTAGTTTGTCACACCAGATGTGCCGACGCTTTTTTGTTGGAATACAGTTATAGGAGCATTAAACCTGATCATTGACTACGCCTCGTACGTTGGTGCGTTTCTAAGTTCAGACGCGTGTTCGTTGGTTTCATGAAGGTGGTGAACGTCTGAGACATGCATAGCTCCGGGCTTTTCTCCCACCGCATGAAGCTGACGCCTTCATACAATCACATACTGTTCAAAGCCGCCAAACACGCACACACTCATCACTGGAGCATTGCGTGAGTCTCCAACCAGTCGCCAAACATTCTGCAATATACTATCTCACGCACTCGCTCACTGGTATCCAGTCTCTCTCTCTCTCCCTCTCTCTCTCTCTCTCTCTCTCTCTCTCTCTCTCCCTCTTCCCCCCCTCTCAAACTCCCAAACTCGCATACAATCACTTAACAATGCAACTAGAAGAACACCTAGTCTGTCATACAGACCCCGAAACAAATATATCCAATACAGCCCATGCAAGTATATAATGTTTGGCAAGTCTAGTTTACTGCAGTATCTTAAAATGAGGAAAGTCTCTGGGCACCTGTTTATGATATTTTTATAACTATCATTTAACAACTTTTTTTCTGTAAAATATGTTCATTTCAGATTTTAGATGTTTGTCTTAAAAAACACCCACCTATCCACTCACTCACTCACTCACACTCAGATCCCCTAATACACAGCCTCGCCACCCCCTCACTGAACCATCCTCCCACCCACTCACTCTCTCAACCATCCTACCATCCAACCTGTCTCCCCCTTCCAATCAATGAGTTAGTCTTTACACGCCCCACTGCCACCTTACAGCACGCCAAAGCCTCCTAAGTGTAAATGGCCTTTAAGTGATGTGCAAGAGCCCGCTCCTGACCCCCTAACTCATTCGCCAGATAGACGTTCGACTTCCGCACATCCCAGCAACACCAGTAATGACAGTCGCGAAATACGATATCCACTGACTCCGACCTTGTTTCCTAAATAACATGCTTCAAATGTCGAACTTGAGTTTATAAACAGTGTATACACTGAGCACAGGAACTGTGGCTTTATATTAACTCCTGACAACATGGCGTAGAGGGTTGAACAACTGCCGAACATTCGCACAAGCTAGACTGTCGTTCAGTCTCTTCAACAAAAGACGTTCTTGGTGCTTTAAAGGACCATTTGATATTCTTGGGTAGGGGGTGGGGGATTAAAAAAATATGTTGTCCCCCAAAATGTTTGAAACAAGTAATTATGTGTTCATGCCATACAAATTACATTGTTGCCATGAGTTGCCAAAATTAATTTAGCTCAATGTTTTATTTTTAAAAATATCTGGTGTTGTACCTGCAGCTAAAACATATCTGTCCTCAATACAAAATTGTCGTAATAAGTTCACAAATAAACCCGATCACTATTATAAAACTTACACATGCATGTATAAATGTTATTCATTGTATTCTTACAAAGGGGACCGACCCGTGAAGCTCCGGGGTAGAGTAGGTCTTCAGCAATCCATGCTTGCCGTAAATGGCGACTATGCTTGTCGTAAGAGGCGACTAACGGGATCAGATCATCACAGAGCGGGTTGGCAGGTAACTACACGTGTTGGGCCATAATTATATCAGTTATGGACATTATGTTTATTTTTACTTTACTATGAACGTAGTTATAGAGAGCTGGGTAAACATGTACAATGGGGGACCCGTTATTTCAAATGGAAGTTTGTTTCTGCATTAATTTTGGTTTCGTTGTTCAGATAACACCTCGTTAATCTGGACGGTCCTGTTTAAAGTGAAATCATCTGGGCGAACCAATCGTTGACGCTGGATAATGCTACTGAAAAAGACATAATTATGGAGATTCGCAACAAAATCGTCCGGAAGGCGAGATTTCCGGAATAGCGGGGGTCAACATTATCAAACTTTCATTGTACGTAGGAAGGGATGGTGTATACTTGATACGAGGATATTTGTTAATAGTTTAGTAATTTTAAGTCTCAGCATTAAAGAGCAAGAGAGTGGATGTTGTTTAACGCCGCACTCGGCAATAATCCGGCTAAGTCAGGGCGACCTGTAAGTATTGGGCCGGACAAACCAGTGGTTGATGGGGGTCTTCATGTTATTTCCGTTCCGGACAGAGCCAGAAATTTAACCTGTTTCTTCCAAAAACATGAACTTTTAAAAGAACGACGTTTGATAAAAGCCACATTGCCACTCTGGCAAAGTCATCAAAACTTAATTTATTTAAAACTTTGCCAAGTAGTTGTGAAAATTGTCCGGCTTGGTTAAATGCCAGTTATTCTTTCCACACGATGAAGTACATGAGTATAGAAAGAAACAAGAGTGAGCATGGTGTTAGGCCGCTTTTAGCATATTCCAGCAATATATCATGCCGGGGGACAGATAAGAGAAGATACGATAGATAAGATAATATTTATTGCAGAAGAGATGCAATTCTTAAAATGACAAAAATATTATGATTCATATATACATATATACAGACATAAATACATTCTTGTAAACACAAAAAACAATTTCCCCCTTCCCCCAAAAAACAAAAACAAAACAAAAAATAAAAACAAAACAATACAATACAAAACCAAAAACAAAAAAACAAACAAACAATACAAAAAAACAAAACAAATATTAAACAACAAAATATATCAATATTACATATGTGATGATATTATACATATTATGTCATCGGCTGATTTATATCAAGGGGCATTTATTGCTTGAAATGATAGACATGGAAGCAAATGCAGTTGCTATTGATGGCTTCATTATTTGAGAGGATGTAGTGAAATAATTTGTTTTCATGATTCTGGATATTTACATTTTAAGTGGATAAATTTCCCAAGCGTATATTTCTTTCTTGATAGTGTTTGGTACAGTGACACCTAAGCCTTCCGTCGCACATCAAAGACACAAGAGAAAGTATGACTTGGAGCAAGTCCTTCACCCAAACTGTTCGTTACCACATATCCTAGTCTGTCTGCCAGACCAAGGTGAATATATTAAGAACGGAATCCAAGTGAAGTCTTAAATAATTTGGAAGTCTAGATTGCCTTAGCGCGAGGTCTCCACTGTTTTTTTCTAGATCAATGAAAATATGAAACAATCGTGTTTCAGTATTAGACACGCGGTTCCTAATGTGAAAACCTCGAAAATCAGCCTTTGTATAATTGTAGATCTACCTAGTTCATGAAAACAGTTAGTATTGTTGTATCTCGTGAACATGCACGTGTTGAAATGAAAAAGTACAATTTTGGTGTACGTGAACACAGGGACAATATGCGACTTCTGAAAGTTTTGCTCAGATCCTGTTAGGTAAATGGGCCCTTATAGCACCCTTTCCTTTGCCAGAAGCATCAAGTCGAGATCGGGTTTCACCAAGCAATATAGACTAACACCTAGGCTTTAAAATAACTGAGTTCTTCATAGAACCTTTCCTTCCGTTGTGGAATTAAGGCAACTAGACTTGGTTAAGTTTGATCTAGACTCGTTTAGTGAGTGAGTGTGTTGGTTTAACGCCGCTTTTAACATTATTCCATTTATAACACGGATTAATGTGGGAGGAAAGCCCGAAATGATGCAGGTCTCAGACGTTTACCACTTCGGTGAAACCCACGAACACGGATATGGTGCTGACGAACCTAGAAACATAATCGGGGCGAATCAGGATTCGAACCCACAATTATAGGTTTCTGGCGTGCCCAAGGGACGCAACTCTACTCGAATCGCGGCGCCTTAGACGACTGGGCCACCCGTGCCCCCAGACTCGTTTAGACAAATCTAGATTTTTTATAATTCCACAGTCATGGCGCAGGACTACATGAGATAAGGGAAGGGTAGCGTAACACGGGGAGACATCCTGTGGCCAACTGGCTGTCCTAGTGTGGCGTCGAACCCAGGCTGCTTGAATCAAAATTATTTTCTTGAAAGTTAGGCCAGTCTCAATGACACTTTCCAAATGGGGTTGATATATTTGCACTGCTGACAACGGCCGTGGGAATCTGGCGTTGGTTGGAATATTCTGAGATGGCATTTAATCTTATTCCGCCAATGGGAAATAGCACGTGATCAGTGTAATGGGTGAGTGTGAGTGTGATTTTACGCCGCTTTGAGCATTATTCCAGGATTATCAGGGGGTAATTGACTACAAAGAGCCAGATATTGCAGATAAGTATTCTGTTATCGAGTCTACGACATACTCACGCACAAATCCTCCAACATGTCAAATTTTGACACAAATTCAGCGAGTCTGCGAGGTTAACGCTAATTGACGAGAAACATGAAACGTTAAAGAATCTCCATTGCGATCCATCAAAGTCAGAACCAGTCGTTGATGAGAGGGAGCTCCTTGTGTAACAATTTAGACTTTCAGTTTCTTAACAACTTCTTTGAAGCAAAAAATGTAAGTTGAAGAATGCTCGACATTTTTCGGTTAGATTCATATGTGAACTTGAGGGCAACCACAGTGACAGCTCAATCATCTCCACACGGCTGTCAGGCACTACAGCCCCACCGATAGCCCTGATGCTGCCGACACAGCCATCTTCCCATCAACATCACCGTGGGTACCAGCTCCACA